AGCAGTTCCACTGGTTAATTATCACTGCCAGGAAGTTTCTCCTTCGTTCTAGATTGCTTCTCTTGATTAGCTTCCATGCGTTGCTTCTTGTCCTGTGTGCTTTGGAAAACAGGTTGACCTATTTGAGGAAGCTCTTTTTTTAAAAAATAATTTTTCTCCTTTTTCCCTCATTCGGCTCTGCTAAACGATGCGTTGCGGGGAACATTTCGTGAGGGTGTGCTCGTGCTGCAAATGCACAGCGACATGCTCTAAAATAGTGATTTTCAATCTCAGCCCCTGGAAGAGGTGTGGACTGCAACTCCCAGAATTCACCAGCCAGCTGTGGTGGCTGGGGAATTCTGGGAGTTGAAATCCACAAGCAGGGGTCTTCCAACTTGGCCCTTTGATGACTTGTGGACTTCAACTCCCAGAATTCCTCAGCCAGGCACGCCCGTGCCTGGCTGAGGAATTCTGGGAGTTGAAGTCCACAAGTCATCAAAGGGCCAAGTTGGAAGACCCCTGGCCTATTTTCTCCAGGGTTTCTGTCTAGTCTCCAGGGTCTGTGCTTGGGGCCAGCCCCCCTTGGCAGATGCGCCCCTTGCCCCCCAGCCCCCTGGGACCCCACATTCATCTTTTTGATGACTTCCAGCTAGGAGCAATCAAGATAGAGACCTCCACATCACATCAGCTGTTTTTCAGCGGAGCAAAACTTGGATCTGCAGACTGCTTATTCCCAAGACAGGATCAGAAGCTCTCTATTCCCGTCTCCGAGTAAAGATGCAGCAATCTTTCGCCAGCTAGCCACACAGCCAGGAGCAAAAAGGCCCAGCATGCACAGCCAGACAATGGGGAGTTTCCTCCCCGACAGGTGGACAGGAAAATAATACAGGCTAGTGAGCAGATGAGACTCCATAAAGGAGATCTGTAGCTGAGGGTTGAAAAGAAGGATCCTTGGCGAGGTTGTTTTCTTGCAGACGTTTCATGACCCAGCTAGGTAACAACATCAGTGCAAAGGGGGTGAATGTTTAGTGCAGGGTGCTCAAAACGGACCGGAGGGCTAGTTTTCTCATTTTGCAGGTTTGAACTTCAAAAGGCAATGCGTTAATAATAACAAAGTTGGAAGGGATCTTGGAGGTCATCTAGTCCAACTCCCTGCTCAGGCAGGAGACCCTACACCAGTGGTTGTCAACCTGTGGGTCGGGACCCCATTTGGGGTCGAACGACCATTTCACGGGGGTCGCCAAACAACGCAGTCCGCCATTTTTCCCCCTTTTCCTTAGCCGTGCTACTCCCTTTTATTCTATTGGCTTTTGAAAGCCAATAGAAGAGACTCTCTTGAATAGAGTCTAATTCTATTGGCTTTCAAAAGCCAACAGGAATTGTCCAGGCTGTCTCTGCCCTGCTGAGCCCGCCAAAAGTCCCAGTCTGCAAACAGTGCTGCACCAGTTGAGTAGTCCTCGACTTACGACCGGTAGGGGGGTCGCGGCATTAAAAAGGTTGAGAACCACTGCCCTACACCATTTCAGACAATTGGCTGTCCAGTCTCTTTTTCAAAACCTCCAGTGTTGGAGCATTCACCCCTTCTGGAGGCAGGCTGTTCCACTGTTCTAACTGTCAGGAACTTTCTCCTTAGGTCCAGGTTGCTTCTCTCCTTGATGAGTTTCCATCTGTTGCTTCTTGTCCTGCCTTCAGGCGCTTTGGAGAATAGCTTGACTGCCTCTTCTTTGGGGCAGCCCCTGAGATACTGAATACTGCTTATCATGTCACCCCTGGTCCTTCTCTTCATTAAACTAGACATGTTCATGAAGGTCACATTTGGGGAGGGGTGCAAAACCCTCCCCAGTACTCAGGAGTGGGAGGACACAGTAGATCGCCTTGCGTACCTGGCCTGGCATCTCTCACACCTGGCATCCCCCAGCAAGGAAGGTGGCTGTCCGTCAGCTTTAATCCTATTTTAATTACCCTCCCTGTCTGGATTATCTGTGCCTCCAGCTGGCGAAGGCTGTCTGCTTTGGGGGGGGGGGGTCAATCTGGGGCTGCCCGGTGGCCCCAGAAGCCAGCAGGGCTGAGTGGGGGACCATTTGCACCTTCTAAATGCAGGACATTGCACTGCCCCTCTGCTTGAAAGCCCCCTCCTCAGCATCCCACTGGAGCAGTGGTTCTCAACCTTTTTAATGCCGCGACCCCTAACCGGTCGTAAGTCGAGGACTACTCAACCGGTCGTAAGTCGAGGACTACTCAACTGGTGCAGCACCGTTTGCAGAATGGGACTTTTGGCGGGCTCGCATGGCAGAGACAGCCTGGACAATTCCCTTTGGCTTTTTGAAAAGCCAATAGAATTAGACTCTATTCAAGAGAGTCTATTCTATTTGTATTTCAAAAGCCAATAGAATAAAAGGGAGGAGCACAGCTAAGGAAAAGGGGGAAAAAATGGCGGACTGCGTTGTTTGGCGACCCCCGTGAAATGGTCGTTCGACCCCAAATGGGGTCCCGACCCACAGGTTGAGAACCACTGCACTGGAGGGTCTGAAATCCACTGCAACCCGCACATAGCAATTCCCACCAAACGCACGCACACGCACAGATCACACAACGGCAAAGGCTGCTTCAAGCAGACAACTGACTCCCTCACTGGAGGTTTTTAAGAGGTGACTGGAATGGTAGAGGGTCTCCTGCCTGAGCAGGGGGTTGGACTAGATGACCTCCGAGGGCCCTTCCAACTCCGGTAATTCTGCAGCTTCTGCTGATTCAGAATCTGGTCGAAAGACAGGGGGAGGGGATGTCCTCCAACAGGGGCAAGGAGGATAGGAGAGGTTAACCCACCCCCGGCAGTCCTCAGCTTACAACCGCAACTGAGCCCAACATTCCTGTTGCTGAAAAAGTCGGCTCTTAAGCGGGTTTTGCCCCATTTTACGACTTTTCTTGCCCTGGTTGTTAAGCGGATCCCCACAGCTGTTAAATTAGTAACCTGGTCGTTAAGTGATTCCAGCTCCCCCCCCCGTTGACTTTGCTTGTCAGATGGTCGCAAATGGGGATCACGTCTCACACACACACATTGCAAACCGTCGTAAATGTGAATCAGTTGCCAAGCATCTAAATTTTAACAACGTGGCCCTGGGGAGGCTGTGACCGTCGCAAGTTTGAAAACCGGTCCTAAGTTGGGTTTTTTTCCACTTAGAGGTGCAATCTTGGCCTCCCGGCTGGCAAGGCCCCCCTCCCCCCACGGGCACTGGCTCCCTGGTCCAAAGATGCTGAAGACCCCAGAGCCCCCCCCCCACCCTCAGCCCTTCAACGCCAGGGAGTAAATCTCTCCAATGGGGAGGGTTGAAAGCTCCCTTCTGGCTCTCCCCCAGCAGAAGCAGGAGGAACCTAGATGGACGGCCAGAGGCCGCCCAGCGCCCGACCCCCTGGGCACCAGCACCGTCTGATGCCCAACTGGGCAAGGCAGGCTGGACCACATGCAGGTTTGCTTTGGCAACCCAGCTTGGCCTGAACGGACGGCCCCCTCGTTTCCTGACAGCCAAAGACAGGCCAGCTTGCCCGCCCTCCGTGCCACTCAGAACGGGGCTTGTTGTTCTCCTATTATTGCATGTTTTAATTCCCTTCCATGATGGTTTGTTTCCAAGCCCTCTTCGGGGAAGGCTTCTCGTGACTCTGCCCCTCTTTCTCAAGGTCATTTGGAAGCGGGCAAAGGAGCCTCCCCGGAGATTGGCAAGGGATCTGGCAAGCCAGGATCAGCCAGGCTGTGGCTGGCCCTTGTCGGGGTGACCCACAACCGCAACCAGCCCGAGGCGGCTATTTTTAGTCCCTGCCTGAGCCTCTTAGCCGTCCGAGGGAAGGGAACAAAATGTGCTGGGCGCAAATTCCTCCCAGCTCTGCCTGGGATAAGTAATTGTCCTACCTGCTCTGTCACCTCTCCAGGATGCAAGGCATTGCAAAAATAAGCCACGCAGCATCGGCAGCACAGCCACAGAAAGTAAGGAGGGAATCTTCCTATCTTCCTTCCTTCCACCATTCTTCCTTTCCCACCATCCTTTCTTTTTCTCTTCCATCCTTTCTTTCTTTTTCTCTTTCTTTCTCTTTCCAGAAAGCCCCCTTCCTTCTAGTACTGATGACACTACCTAGTTGGATCATGAAACGTCTGCAGGAAAACCACCCAGCTCAGAGAGCACCCAGGACCCCACAGTCCTTTTTTTTCTTCCTCCTCCTCCCTACAAACCCCCCTCTCTTCTAACCCTGAGGATGTTACCTAGCTGGGTCATGAAACGTCTGCAGGAAAACCACCCAGCTCAGAGAGCACCAAGGACCCCACAATCCTCCTCCTCCTCCTCCCACTAGTTTTTCCCTAGCCAAATAGCCTGCCCCCCCCCCCATGTCCACCCATTTGCCTTTCCCGGCAGAGGTTGGGAGGGGGGCAGAATGAGGCCTTCCCACGACTCTAGAGTTGGGGTGCGCCAACTGATCCTGGAATTGGACAGAAGCAGAGATGGGTCTTAGCTACAGCCAGGGAGGGGTTGGGGGGGTGATCTTCTACCAAGACCATCTGCAAGGGTGTTTTCCCTGATGGGGGGCTCTGGGTGTGTGTGGCTGTGGCCAACTAATGCCACACCAACCTCTGGAAACCCTTCCCCATTGCATTCCCCATGAAGGTTCTCCATCATCCATCCAGGCAGAGATCCCCGAAGCTTAGTCAACCTTCAGAATTGATTCAGAATCAGAATCAAGAGCTGGAAGGGGCCTCGGAGGTCTTCTAGTCTAGCCCCCTGCTCAAATAAGAGACCCTAGACCAGGGATGGGGAACCTTGGCTCTTTTATGACTTGCAGACTTCAACTCCCAGAATTCCTGAGCCAGCCATGCTTGCGCAGGAATTCTGGGAGTTGAAGTCCACAAGTGTTGGAGCATTCTCAACTTCTGGTGGCCAGCTGTTCCACTGGTGAATTGTTCTGTCAGGAAATTCCTTAGTTCCAGGTTGCGTCTCTCCTTGGCTAGTTTCCCTCCATTGCTTCTTGTCCTGCCTTCTGCTTCTCTGGAAAACAAGTTGACCCTATTTTCTTTGGGGCAGCCCCTCAAAACACTGGAAGATGTTATCGTGTCCCCCCTGGTCCTTTTTTTCATGAAATCAGACATACCCAGTTCCTGCAACTGTCCTTCCTGTGCGTTTGTCATCTCTGCCTGGATGACCGAGAACCTTAATGGATGTTTCCCAGCTGGGCTTAAGACTGACCCACAGCCAGCCTGTGACGGTCATCTCACAAAAGTTGGACATGGCATCCTCAAATATTGACAAGGCCTACCGCAAGAGGCTCCCAGCCCTGATCTTTGAGGCGGGCACAGGGCTTCCTTTGCCCAGCTGAGGGTTTCTTAGTGCCCCCCCCCAATAAAGTGGCAGCCAGGAGGCCCTCAGCCCTTTCCCTCTTGGGGTTCCCCACCCCCAATTCACAGGTTGCCTCTGTCTAGGACAGTGTTTCTCAACCTTGACAATTTTAAGGCATGTGGACTTCAACTCCCAGAATTCCACAGCCAGCGTTGCTGGCTGTGGAATTCTGAGAGTTGAAGTCCACATGCCTTAAAATTGTCAAGGTTGAGAAACACTGGTCTAGGAACAAAGCTCAGCTTTCACAAGTAATGCGCACGTGGCGAGCCCTTTTTCACGTCATACGATGTCACACACACACACACATCATGGGTGTCTGCAGGTATGGTGAAAAAAACACCACGCTTTGGGGGTGCAGTCAAAGCCAGGCGTGGTTTTTACGCCCGTTGGGCTCGATCTCGTCGCGGTGCCCACCAAATGGACTTTTTACATCACACCATGCAAACACCCAACACACTCCCCAAAGGAACGCAACAACGCAGCAGGGCATAAACTGAAGCACCCCAACACACACAGATACCTGCCCTGGCAAAGCAGCTCTTTCGGGAACCTGGAGGGGCAGTGAAGACCCTTCCCCAGATGCAAGTGGCTTAGAGAGGTGAACCCCGCCTCTTTCTCTAAAAAAGATGCCCCCCCATCCCTCCCCAGGAATTAGAGGAAGCAGAGATGGATGCCCAGAGAGCACAGGGCAGTTATTTGGGGGGTCCCCAAGGGTCCGTGGGGAGGGAAAGTCCAATGACAAGCGTTGGAGGAAGCAAGTCTTCTATTCACCCCCCCACACACATCAAACATGGTTTCATGAGTCCTTTTGCAGCAGCAGATCCCCCCCTCCCCTTTTCCCATGGAGATGGCAAAGGGGGTCCACCAGGAGAGACCCTCCCAACAGTCTCCGGCACCCCCACCCTGCCCTCGGTCACCCCTGGAGAAGGACTGGGGAGCAAAAATAGCGAGCAAAAGAAATGGGTCTGGGGTCTTTGCCCAAGGACATTCTGAGCTGGGAATGAGGGGGGGGTCATCCCGGAGTTCCCACGATTCCTGCTGATCTCCAGCATCCCATTCTTAGATGGGGGAGGGGGGAGTAGAATGCCTACCAAAATGACTGTTCCCCCCAAGCAAGGGAGGGGCTTCAAGGAAGACCGTTCCCCAACAACAGGGAGATCAGGAGCTACTACGAGAGCCTCAATTGCCCAGCAGGTACGGAGGGTGGGGTCATGGTCTCCCCCCCAAGGCAGGGGACGAGGGGCGCTGCCTCCAAAGTCCGGGGGGGGGTCAAGGAAAAGCTTCAGGTGGTCTGTCTCAGACGCCGGTTCCGTGCAGAGTCCAGTCCGGCCGCCCCTCTGCGGCCAGCCAGTGAGTTGGGCCTCCCCGACCACCATCGAAGGTGGGGGCCTGGGCCGGATCAGGGCCCCCCGCTGTAGGAGTAGTCGGCCTTGTTGTGCATCACCAGCTTGTTGTCCACAAAGTAGAAGCTGTCCGACTGGGTCTCGTAGGGGTGCAGGACCATCTCCTGGACTGGGGGAGAAGCCGGGGGGGCAGGGGGGGTCAGCCGGGGCTGGCTGGCTTGGCCGGAGGCCCCCCAAACCACAGCGCCAATACGCAGCGACCCTCCCTGAGTCCCGTCCCCCCCCCCGCCCTGCTTACTGAGGTCCTCGGAGAGCGGCGGGAACTCGTAGATGTGTTCACAGCTGTTCTTGCTGGTGGGGATGCAAAAGCCGAACTGGAAGTCGAAGCTCTTGAGCAGCTGATCCCGGAAGTAGTGCCTCTCGATCATGCGGAAGTTGCTGATGGGCTTCTCCCCCACAGTGAACTCCACCCTGGGGGGGGAGGGAGGGAGGGAGGAAGGAAGGAAGAAGGGAAGAAGGGAGGGAGGGAGGTTAAGGGAAAGAGGGAGGGAGGAAAGGAGGGAGGGAGGGAGAGAGGAAAGAAGGAAAGAAGGGAAGGAGGGAGGGGGAGAAAAGAAGGGAAAAAGGGAGAGAGGGAGGGAGGAAGGTTAAAGGAAAGAGGGAGGAAGTACGTTGAGGGAGGGAGGGATGAAGGAATGAATGAATGAAGGAAGTAAGGAAGGAAGAAGGGAGGGAGGAAGGTTAAGGAAAAGAGGGAGGGAGGAAAGGAGGGAGGAAAGAAGGAAATAAGGGAAGGAGGGAGGAAAGAAGCAAAGGAGGGAGGGGGAAAAAGAAGGGAGGGAGGGAGGGAGGAAGGTTAAAGGAAAGAGGGAGGAAGTAGGTTGAGGAAGGAAGGAAAAAGGAAGGAAGAAGGGAGGAAGGAAAGTTTTTTTTATTATTATTATAGTTTTTATTAAGTAAACTTTTAAAAACAAGTTGAACACAGTGTGCCTCTTCCGGCTGTTATTTTGCCATACATACTATACCATATGCCATATACCATATATCTTCCTAGTCATTGATCTTTTATACCATTTACATATTGCATTTTATACTATTTACATATTTATATATTTACATACATATTTACGTCTATTTATAACATAACTTGGGAGGGAGGAGTTACGGGAAAGAGGGAGCGAGAAAGGAAAGAAGGAAATGAGGGAAGGATGGAGAGAAGAAGCAAAGGAGGGAGGGAGGGAGGAGAGAGGGAGGGAGGGAGGGAGGGAGGGAGGAAGGAAGGAAGGAAGGAAGGAAGGAAGGAAGGAAGGAAGGAAGGAAGGAAGGAAGGAAGGAAGGAAGGAAGAGCAAAGCTGTTATTCCCAGCTCCCACCAAGCCAGGATTACCTCCCAGAGGTGCCAGCCCATTTTGCACACCCCATGCTAAGAGCTCAGACCAGACCGTCGGGAGCTTCCCTGGTAGAGATTAGCTGCGCAACACTCGCACTCAGAGCTGGCATTGGGCCCCTTTGGTGAGCTGAGCCGGCTGGGAAGGCAGCCGTTCTACAAAGCACTACGGTAAATTCTCAGCCCTTCTGCTGACATTCATCCCTGGGTGCCAGCCAGCCACACAACATCGGCCCAGAATCCTCTGAGCCGGAAACAGGGCCAGCACATTGGGGGGTGCACAGATTCTATCCGGGAATGATAGGAACTGTAGTCCAGCCCTCCTGGAGGCCACCGTGACAGAAAAGTGATGAGCGCTTCATCCCTGGAGGTTTTCAAGAAGAGACTGGACAGCCATTTGCCTGGAAAGGTCTAGGATCTCCTGCTTGAGCAAGGGGGTTGGACTGGATGACCTTTGAGGCTCTGCAATTGCGAAATACTGGCCTGGGGCGGGCAGAATAAAGCAGGACCGGCCAAAATGCTTCTCTGCCATAAAAAATTTTTTTTTTACTGAACCTGGCCTCAACACTGGAAGAAGTGACTGGACAGCCATTTGTCTGAAATGGTATATGGTTTCCTGCCTAAGCAGGGGGTTGGACTAGATGACCTCCAAGGTCCTTTACAACTTTATTATTTTTGTTTTTATTATCATCATCATCATCATCATCATTATGGATCATCGCACAGTCAGCCAGATGTTCAGACTGGATTTGGCATTTTGTTTACCTATCGAGTCCTTGCCCAGGACCTGGGATAGGCAGATGTGGATATTTGAGGGTATTACAGGTATCGTCGCAGAATGGAAGCAGTTCCTAATAAGGCCGCCTTCTGCAATTGACTAATGGCGAATTTGTCAATGCCAATGATGGTGTTCAAGTGGTGCTCCAGTTGTTTTGGGATTGCACCCAAGGAGCCTATGACTATTGGTACTACCCTTGCTTGCTTTTGCCACAGTCTTTCTATTTCTATTTGTAGGTCTTTGTATTTTGTTATCTATTCTGCTGTCTCCAGGCACTGCCACGTCCACTATTTTTTATTATTATTATTGTGGATCATCGCACAGTCAGCCAGATGTTCAGACTGGATTTGGCATTTTGTCTACCTATCGAGTCCTTACCCAGGACCTGGGATAGGCAGATGTGGATGTTTGATGGTATTACAGGTATCGTCGCAGGATGGAAGCAGTTCCTAATAAGGCCGCCTTTTGCAATTGACTAATAGCGAATTTGTCAATACCAATGGTGTTCAAGTGGTGCTCCAGTTGCTTTGGGATTGCACCCAAGGAGCCTATTACTATTGGTACTACCCTTGCTTGCTTTTGCCACAGTCTTTCTCTTTCTCTTTGTAGGTCTTTGTATTTTGTTATCTTCTCCAGTTCTTTCTCGTCTATTCTGCTGTCTCCAGGCACTGCCACGTCCACTATCCAGACTTTTTTGCCTTTCTTATCGACAATTGTTAAGTCTGGGGTGTTATGTTGCAGGTGCTTTGTCTGTTTGAATTCTGAAGTCCCAGAGCAGTTTAATTTTATCATTTTCTATGACTTTCTCTATTTTATGATCCCACCAGTTTTTGCTTACAGGCAAATGATATTTTTTGCAGATCTTCCAATGCACCATTGTTGCTACTTTGTCATGCCGCTGCTTGTAATCAGTCTGTGCAATTTTCTTGCAACAGATTACCAAGTGGTCCACTGTTTCTTCAGCTTCTTTGCATAGGCGGCACTTACTGTCTGTTGCTGTCTTCTCAATTTTGACTTTGTATGCATTTGTCCTTAAGGCTTGGTCTTGTGCAGCCAGAATTAGTCCCTCGGTCTCTGTCTTCAATTTTCCTGCTCTTAGCCATTGCCAGGTTTTATTATTATCTGCTTTCCCAGCTATTTTTTAATGTATTGGCCATGTAGTGCTTTGTCTTCCCATGCCTCTATTCTGTTCTTCATTTGGTCTTTCTTGTAGGCCAGTTTGGTCTCTCCAGTAGTCAGTAAGCCTTCCTGATATACTAATTTCAGTGCATCTTCATCATTGTTCTTCAGATATTCTTCCAAAGCCATTTTTTCTTCTTCAACCATCTGATGTACTTGTAGCATTCCACGCCCACCTATTTGCCTTGGTAGATAAAGTCTATCAATGTCACTGCGTGGATGAAGGGCATGATTCATTGTCATTATTTTTCTGGTCTGCCTATCCATTGCTTTTAGTTCTGCTTGAGTCCAGTCCACTATTCCAGCTGTGTACCTAATGACTGGGATTGCCCAGGTGTTGATTGCCTTTATGGTATTTCCTCCATTGAGTTTGGATTTTAAGATCTTCTTCACTCTCTTGATGTATTCACCTCTAATCTTTTTCTTGACTTCAGTGTGCTTGATGTTGTCAGCTTGAAGGATACCCAAGTATTTGTAGTACTCTTCCTCATCCAGACTCTTAATGTTATTTTCGTGGGGCATCTTGATTCCTTCAGTTTTCACTATTTTTCCTTGTTTGATAGTAAGTGTGGCACATTTGTCCAAGCCAAACTCCATTATTATTATTATTATTATTATTATTATTATTATTATTATTATTAACATTTACATTTACATTTATTGTTGTTGTTTTGTTATTATTTACATTTATTATTATTTACATTTATTATTGTTAGCATTATTATTTATTATTCATTTTTATTCATCATCATCATCATTATTACTACTTACGTGGCTCCAACCTGCCGCAACCGTAGAAACGCCGGCGTGAACTGGTAGCGCACAAACCGCCCGGCATTTGGGTCAGCCTCCTTCTTTTCGCTGCGCTCCCGTTCTGGGGGGGGGGAGACAAGAGAGCGCACCCCAGTTGCACGAGGGCTGGGTAGTGCCCAAACTCTGCATTCCCACCCGGGGTCTCTTTCAAAAGCCATCCTGGCCTTGGAGCCCTTGACGGATCGTGCCCGACGGATCTGCACCCTGCCTGCAAAAGGCGATGCCCTGGCGTGACGGGACTGGCACAGGTCTTGGCGGCCCCCAGGGGGGAAGCCCAGCAGGGTTGAGTGGGGGCCTAAGACGGGGCTTGGCCACTTGAAGACTGATGGACTTCAACTCCCAGAATCCCCCAGCCAGTAATTCTATTCTATCCTGTAATTCTATTCTATTCTATATTCTATTGAATAGAATATAGAATAGAATACAGAATAGAATCTATTGTATTGTATTGTATTCCTTATTTTAATCCTATTCTATATTCTATTCTATTCCTTACTGTTCTATTCTATTCCATTCCTTATTTTTATTCTATTCTATATAGTCTAGTCTATTCTATATTCTATATTCTATTCTATTCATTCTGAATTCTATTCTGAATTCTATTCTATATTCTATTCTATTCTATTCTATTCCTTATTCTATTCTATTCTATTCCTTATTCTATTCTATTCTATTCCTTATTTTAATCCTATTCTATATTCTATATTCTATTCTATTTCTATTCTATTCCTTATTCTATTCCTTACTATTCTATTCCATTCCTTATTTTTATTCTATTCTATATAGTCTAGTCTAGTCTATATTCTATATTCTATATTCTATTCTATTCATTCTGAATTCTATTCTATATTCTATTCTATTCTGTTCTATTCCTTATTCTATTCTATTCTATTCCTTATTTTTATTCTATTCTATTCTATCCTGTAATTCTATTCTATATTCTATAGAAAAAGTGGCTTATAACCAATCCTCACACTTGCAACGGTCACAGCCTCCCCACGGTCACGTGATCAAAATTTGGGCGCTTGGAGACTGTTATGTACTTGCAATGGTTGCACTGTCTCTGGGTCACGTGATCAGCATCGGCAGCTTTCCCAGACATGCAAACTCAAGGGGAGAAGCTGGCTTGGCTTAATGACCATGTGATTCACTTAGCAACTAGGGCCAAAAGGGCCATAACATTAGGCGACACTCACTGAACACCCGTCTCACTTAGCAACACAACTTCTAGCCCCAATTTGTTTGTAATTTGAGGATTACCTGTACTATGGCTTTGCCTCTAATTCGAAATGGGTCTGGCAGAAGATCAAAAGTGGCCGCCATCATAACATGGCAAACAAGCTGGGGAGGGGGCTGTGGGGGGAAGAGAAAGGGGAAGGGGAGCGCAGAGAGGGTCCTCCCACCTGCCGCAAAGTGGGGAGCACTCACCTGAGGCGGGGGGCTTGGTGATCTCAAAGAGGACCGTGCCGGATTCCATATCCCGAATCTTAAAGCGGGTGAAGTCGATCTTGTAAACGTTCTCCTCCGGGGTGCACAGATAATCTGCAGGAGGAAAAACCACCCTTCAAAATTACAGCGGCACTGAACAGAAATGGCTTAGGACCGGTCCTCACACTTAGGTTTGTTGTAGCATCCTCAGGGTCACGTGAGCAAAATTTGGGCAACCGGCAGGCATTTGCGAGGGTTGCAGCATCCAGGGCTCAATCGGAAACTTTTGAAGTTTCAGGCAGGCCGGAACAAAACCACAATCCTAACTTGGATGCACCGCTTACTCTCCCGAGGAGCTGGAAGAGACTTTTGCATTGGGGGTCCAGGATACCATCGCCCATAGGATACCATAGTCCAGGGGTCCTCAAACTTGGCCTCTTTAAGACTTGTGGACTTCAGAGCTGGCTGGGGACTTCTGGGAGTTGAAGTCCACAAGTCTTAAAGGGGCCAAGTTTGAGGACCCCTGCCATAGCCCATCACACGTCTAAATAATGCTCTATCCCGTGGGAACCAAGGTCATTTCAAACAATCAGATTGGGGGGGTGTACTATTAGAAAGCCCGCCAAACTCTTCTCTTGGGAAATATAGCGCATGGCATAGTATTGGGGTGGGAAGTTTGACTTTGTAAATAGTGTAAATAGTGTTTGACTTTGTAAATTCTGCAGGGAATTTCAGACTTGGTTTCACTTTTAATCATGCCGATACTTTGTCATCAATAAACATGTTCTTTGAGGAAGCCGCTAGCTTCGGAGTTCTGTTTTCTCTGGTCTCATCTCAAGACCCCAGTGAGGCCACACCTGGAATACTGCAGCTAAGTTTGGTCACTGTATCACAAAAAAGATGTTGAGCATTTGGAAAAAATTCAGAGAAGAGCAACTAAGATGATTAAAGCTTGGAGAGTAAAATAGACGAAGAACGGCTGCAGGACTTGGGTTTGGCTAATCTAAAGAAAAGAAATAAGGGAGACATGATAGCAGTGTTCCAGTATTTGGGGGGCTGCCACATTATGTGAAGGGGTCACATTATTCACCAAAGCACCAGACGGCAGGAGAAGAAACAATGGTTGGAAACTGACCAAAGAGAGAAGTAACCTGGAATTAAGGAGAAACTTCCTAGCAGTGAGGACAATCAACCAGTGGAACAGCTTGCCTCCAGAAATCGTGGACGCTCCATCACTGGAAATGTTTGGGAAGAGACTGGACAGCCACTTGTCTGAGATGGTATAGGTTCTCCTGCCTGAGCAGGGGGCTGGACTAGGAGATCTCCAAGGTCCCTTCCAGCTCTATTCTATTCTATTCTATTCTATTCTATTCTATTCTATTCTATTCTATTCTATTCTATTCTATTCTTCTATTCTATTCTATTCTTCTATTCTATTCTATTCTATTCTATTCTACTCTATTCTATTCTTATTTCTATTCTATTCTATTCTCTTATTTCTATTCTATTCTCTTATTTCTATTCTAGTCTAGTCTAGTCTAGTCTAATTATTCTATTCTATTCTATTCTATTCTATTCTATTCTATTCTATTCCCTTCTACTCTACTCTATTATTCTATTCTATTCTATTCTATTCTATTCTATTCTATTCTATTCTTCTATTCTATTCTCTTCTATTCTACTCTATTCTATTCTTATTTCTATTCTATTCTATTCTATTCTATTCTCTTATTTCTATTCTATTCTATTCTATTCTATTCTATTCTATTCTATTCTATTCTATTCTATTCTATTCTATTCTACTCTACTCTATTCTATTCCATTCCATTCCATCCCATTCCTTTCCATATTCTTTCCATATTCCATTCCATTCTATTCATCTACCGAAACCATGATATATAGTTTTATTAGAAGTCCAGGGTATTGCACTATTGCATAGCCAGAACAGAGAATCACGCACCAACATCCCTGAGTTCTACGTTTCCCTCCCTTAACTGGAGGGAGCTGCCACAAGAGGTTCTGGGTGCTTCTCCATCCCTGGAGGTTTTCAAGAAGAGACTGGACAGCCATTTGTCCAGAATGGTGTGGGATCTCCTGCTTGAGTGGGGGGGTTCGACTAGAGGACCTCTAAGGTCCCTTCCAGTCTTCGGATTCTAGGTTCCTCAACAGGAGTCCCCAACCTCTGTTTCCATGGCATGCCAGAATCCGGGCCGCGCAAACAAGTGAAGCATCCCATCCGCGGGATGCAGGCAGCAGGCGAACCCAGGCCCTCTCCGGTTCGCGGGGAAACCTCCCTCCAGGGAAGGGGTCCCTGGTGCCCAAAAGGTGGGAGGGGGCAAGAGGGGGGGTGCTGTTCTGTGAGATTAGCTTCACCTTGTCTGAAAGACGTCGTCTGGCCATCGAGTCCCCCCTTCTGGTCTTACCATCTAGGACTAGTTCAATAAACCAGAGTGAACCCAGCTTAATGGGCTGTTCTCTCTTGGATAGGTCTGCTGTTCCTGATCCTCAGCTGCTTCTGGACTAAGGTGGCTTCTTAGTGCAGTTCAGAGGCTGTTCGACTCCGGGCAGCTAACATGCCAGAAAGCAAGAATTGCAAAGACCCAGGTCTAGGTATTCACAAGAGCGAGAGAGAAGAAATAAACCTTTTTTGTTGCAGATTCTTGAGGGGGGGATGGACAGAGAGAGAGGGGGAAAGAGAGAGAGAAAGAAACAGAGAGAGAGACAGAGACAGAAAGAGAGAGACAGAGAGAAAGAGAGAGAGAGAGAGCAGAGAGAGGGGGGGGAGAGAGAGAGAGGGAAAGAGAACTGACAGAGAGAGAGAAAGAGAAAGAAAGAGAGAGAGGGGGAAAGAGAAACAGAGACAGAGAGAGAACGAGAGAGAGAAAGGGAAAGAGAGAGAGACTGAGAGAGAGAAATAGAGGGGGACAGAAAGAGAGAAGAAAAGGGGGGGACAAAGAGAGAGGGAAAGAGACCAAGAGAGAAAGAGTGAATGTGTGTGTGAGAGAGAGACAGAGACAGAGACAGCGAGAGAGAGGAAGAAGGAGACAGAGAGAAAGAGAAAGAGAAAGAGAGAGAGACAGAGAGAGGGAGAGAGAGGGAGAAGGAGACAGAAAGAGAGAGAGAGAGAGAGAGAGAGAGAGAAAGACACACACACACACAGAGAGAGAGAGAGAATGAGAGGGAGGGAGGGAGAGAGAGAACCGATGTCCAGACTGAGCTAAACTCTCAGGATCGCATTCAGATTCATCAGAGGCCATCCCGGGATTCCTTGGGGGGGGGGCTGCTTTAACGTTCCCCACCCCCACAAGCCAGGGGAGACAGACAGACCCACAAACCTTTGGAGAATGGAAGCAAGCTGACCGGTCCTTGTGGGCAAAGCTGCAGAAAGGCCTGCCAACGTGCTCTGTGCCCGCATCTGCGGGGGGGGGGGGGGATGTCAGGAGAGCGGCTGGTGCTGCTCCCCCTGCCTGCCCGCTCTGGAGAGGCTGGGAGGCGGCAATCCCAAATTCCCAGACCGGCTTCCATGCCCCCCCCCCGCCTGGCTACGGCTCCCTCTCCACGCTGCCCGTGCCCCTGGGGCAGCCACACCTGCCAACTGGCGGCTGGTGCCATCACTCGCCCTTCTCACCCACTGCCATGGCAACGGTCTTCCCCACCCTGCCGTAGCAACCCTGTCGAGGGATGCCCAGCGGTGTCAGAGGGGAGGGCTGCTCAGGGGCCAGGGCAAAGCCCCCCCAAACAGCTTAGCCTCGTCCCAGCGGAGGCTGAAATGGGGGGGGGACTCCAGAAGGGGCTATTGAGAGGGGGCTCCCAAGGGCCCCCTTCCTGGCCGGGACAGCCGTGGCCCCTCGCCCAGGTCCCCGCAGGCAGATTCTCCGTTGGGACTTCCATGTTGCACAGCTGGGAGTGGAGAGGCTGGCAAATGAGGAGGGACGCCTCCAGATCCGACAGGCACAAGGCTCACCCAGGCTGTGCCAGCTTCTCCGAGTCCCTCCGTCTGTCAGGCAGAAAGATGGAAGAGGATCAGCGGAAAAGGGGGGGGAGGTAGGGCGACCCCTTGGGGGGGACTTTCCCCGCAAGTATGATGGGGAAGGAAGGAAGGAAGGAAGGAAGGAAGGAAGGAAGGAAGGAAGGAAGGAAGGAAGGAAGGAAGGAAAGAAGGAAGGAGAGGAAGGAAGGAGAGGAACAGGAAAGGAGGAAGGAAGGACGGAAGGAAAGGAATAGGGAAGGAGGAAGGAAGGAAGGAGAGGAACAGGAAAGGTGGAAGGGAGGGAGGGAGGGAGGGAGGGAGGGAGGAAGGAGAGGAACAGGAAAGGAGGAAGGAAGGAAGGAGGAACAGGAAAGGAGGAAGGAAGTAGAGGAAGAAAGGAAGGAGAGGAATAGGAAAGAAGAAAGGAAGGAGAGGAATAGGAAAGGAGGAAGGAGGAGGGAGGAAGGAAGGAAGGAGAGAAACAGGAAAGGAGGAGGAAGGAAGGAAGGAGAGGAACAGGAAAGGAGGAAGGGGGAGGGAGAAGGGAGAAGGGAGAGAAGAAGGAGGAGAAAAGAAAAGGGAGGGAGGAAAGAAGAAGAAAAAAGGGAGACAGGGGGAGGGAAGGAAGGAAGGAAGTAAGTTCTGAATTGTGGAGAAGCAGCCTGGCATAAGCCCCTCTGGGGGGGTCCTCCAATGGAGCTGAGGAAGGGGGAAACCGCTCTCTACCGAGCGGATAGTCAGGATTGGTGCTGGATCCCCTAAAGGGGGAACAGGGGCATGTCTCCTTCCCACCCCATCAGTCACCCCTCTGAGGCTTCATCCCCCCCCCCCCGGGCTCTGGCCAATAGGGATGCTTCCCTACGAGCCAAGCATCTGGGTGTGTCCACAACGTCCAGAGAGGGGCCACAGAAACAGCCGGCCAGTCGGGTCAGCCGGGCTGGTCAACCAAATGACCACCAGCATTGGAGAAAGCAGAGGGGGCTTCTTTGGGGGGGGGGAGAAAGCAATTTTTCAGCCCCCTCCCCAAGAATGGAAAGCCAGGGTCTTCTGCAAGGCACCAGAGGGAGCCAGGCCCACCGCCCAAAACGGAGGCAGTCGCCAGCCCCAGCAGCTCCACCCGCCTGGGAGTGGGGGGATGCCCACCCTGGGAGCTTCTCCCCACCCATCTGGGCCCCTGGCGGGCTGCCCCTCCCCGAGCTGCCCCTCTCCAGGGCTCAGGGGGGCAGCCCTTCCTGCAAGTAGTCAGGCAGCCCCCCAAGTCGGGCGGAGAGCCCCCAGAACTGCCTAACCCAGCAGGACATCTAATAAAAGAGCAAAGACACCCCAATTTCAGGGAGCCCCCAGGCCCCCCAAGGCTGCCAGAGTCTCCATGAGGGACTGCACCAGCCCCCCCCCCCCCCGCTAGGAGCACAGAAGCAGGAGCTCTGAAACTTTCCCTTCAGACCTTTACAGGCTGTTTATTTTTTATTGATTGATTATTTTTGATCAGGGGATTGGAGGCCAAAACATAGAAGGAACGGCTGCTGGAATTCGGTCTGTCTAGTTCAGGGGTAGGCAACCTCGGCTCTTTTATGACTGGTGGACTTCAATTCCTGAGCCAGCATGGGGGAACTATGGGTCCTTCATGACTTGTGGACTTCAACTCCAGCCTGGCTCAGCTTGGAAACCTCCCCCCAGCATGGCTGGCTCAGAAATTCTGGGAGTTGAAGTCCACCAGTCATAAAAGAGCCCAGGTTGCCAACCCCTGATCTAGTCTAATGAAGAGAAGGACGAGGGGGGACAGGATAGCAGTCTTCCAGTATCTCAGGGTCTGCCCCAAAGAAGAGGGAGTCACGCTATTCTCCAAGGCGCCTGAAGGCAGAACAAGAAGCAACAGATGGAAACTAATCAAGGAAAGAAGCAACCTGGAATTAAGGAGAAACTTCCTGACAGTGAGAACAATTAACCGGTGGAACCACCTGCCTCCAGAAGCGGTGAAGGCCCCAACACTGGAAGTCTTTAAGAAGAGACTGGATGGCAATCTGTCTGAAATGGTATAAGGTTTCCTGTCTGAGCAGGGGGTTGGACTAGATGACCTCCAAGATCCCTTCCAACATCATTATCATCATCATCATCATCATCATTATTCAGTGGAACAGAAGTTGTGGCTGCTTCATCGCTGGAGGTTTTTAAGAAGAGACTGGACAGCCACTTATCTGAAAGGGTGTAGGCTCTTCTGCTTGAGCAGGGGGCTGGACTAGATGACCTCCAAGATCCCTTCGAACATTATATTATTATTATTATTATGCAGTGGAACAGAAGTTGTGGGTGCTTCATCGCTGGAGGTTTTTAAGAAGAGACTGGACAGCCACTTGTCTGAAAGGGTGTAGGTTCTCCTGCTTCAGCAGGGGGCTGGACTAGAGGACCTCCAAGGTCCCTTTCAGCTCTATTCTATTCTAATTCTAATATTCTATTATTCTTAACAGAAGCTCCTTTGCCCAGGCAAAGGCTGCAGGGTGTGTCCCAATTCAAAACAGCTTGCCTCAACTCTCAGTGTCTCCCTGCCACCAACTGCCAGCCCGGGTTTCAAACATGGGCACCTCCAGCTTGTTGCGAAACCTCCTCCGAGAAGCTTCACAGCGGCTGCTTCCCTCTTCCGACTCATTTCCTCTGCCGAAGCCACAATCTCTCCTCCGGCTTGCAAGGGGGTCTGCGAGTGGCGGGCGAGGGACCTGGCACCCAGGGAACAGAGAAGGGCAGGCAAAACGGATCTGAGGGCAATTCGAAATGCACCCTAATAGAGTTGGAAGGGACCTTGGAGGTCTTCTAGTCCAACCCCCTGCACAAGCAGGAGACTCTATACTAGGGGTGTCCAACTTTGGAACTTTAAGACTTGTAGACTTCAACTCCCAGAACTTTAAGTGTTGTGGACTTTAACTCCTAGAACTTTAAGTGTTGTGGAGTTCAACTCCCAAAACTTTAAGACTTGTGGACTTCAACTCCCAGAACTTTAAGTTGTTGTGGAGTTCAACTCCCAGAACTTTAAGACTTGTGGACTTTAACTCCTAGAACTTTAAGTGTTGTGGACTTTAACTGCCGGAACTTTAAGACTTGTGGACTTTAACTCCCATAACTTTAAGACTTGTGGACTTCAACTCCTAGAACTTTAAGACTTGTGGACTTGTGGACTTCAACTTCCAGAAGTCCACAAATCTTAACGTTCCCAAGGCTAGACATCCTTACTCTATACCATTCCAGACCAATGGCCGTATGTCCACTCTGACAAGAAGTTTCAAATTCAATGGAGTGAACAGGATCACAATTGTGAGGGGGCAACTCTGCGTCCCAGGCCAGAATTTTTAATTTTAAAATTTAATTCTAATGTGGTCACAATTTCCGCCCTTCGCAGGTCTTCGGCTTGAAAAACTACATGGGAAGAGACCTCTTCTCAATGTACAACTGGCAGCAGTGAAATTGTGCAAAACCAGGAAATGTCTCACAGCTATTTCTGCTTCGGGACAGATGTCATTTCCGAACAGAAAAGACCAACGGTTTGCCACGGGAAATGAATCCCCTCCAGCGATTCACATGGATGTTCAAAGGCAAACATGGCTGCTGTCCAAAAAAAGATAGGATTTGGGTCTGAGGGCTCTATTGGCCTCGGTGATCCACATCTGTAAAATGGAAACTAAAGTGGAGGATTGTAAAATCCACTCTGGCCGGTCTTAAAGGGTCCTGGCTGAGGAATTCTGGGAGTTGAAGTCCACAAGTCATCAAAGGGCCAAGTTTGAAGACCCCTGTAGTAAGAGAGTTGAGAAAAAGTGCAGAGAAGAGCAACTAAGAAGGCCTGGAGATTAAAACATATGAAGAACAGTTGCAGGATTTGGGTATGGCCAGTCTAGAGAAAAGAAGGACTGGGGGGGGGGGTGACATGATAGCAGTATCCCAATATCCTTGTGGAGCTGCCCCAAAGAAGAGGGGTCAAACTATTCTCCAAAGCACTTGAGGGCAGGACAAGAAACAGCAGATGGAAACTAATCAAGGAGAGAAGCAACCTGGAATTAAGGAGAAACTTCCTAACAGTGAGAACAATTAATCAGTGTGGGTGCTCCATCATTCAGGAGTTTTAAGGAGAGACTGGACAGCCATTTGTCTGAAATGGTGTAGGGCAGTGGTTCTTAACCTTTTTGAACGAATCGCCCCTGAGCCAGTGAGGAAGTTGTCATCGCCCCCTCCCCCGACACAACCTCTCCATCACAACATAGGAAATAGTTCTTTGATTTATCCAAACACTTTTTTTTTGTTTTCTTTAAAATTGTCATCAGGACATATCGATACAAATAATTTATTTCCAGTCTTTTTCCCATATCTCCCATATTCTGGCCAATGGCGCACCACTGTATGGGTAGAGGCTGCTGCACAACGTGCGTGAAGATAAGTGATGCATATTCACATATGTACGGCGTTCTGTCCTGAAGCTAAATGGAGGAACATTTGAAAACACAATTCAATCCACTAATAGCCAGCGATCTGATGTTTTTGTACGACAGATATACAGCGATTCACTGTACAAAAAAGTCTCAAAAGTGTCCCCAAACTTCTCGCCCCATCGCCCCCATATTGCCCCCTTTTTGTTCCTTCGCCCCCCTGAAAAATGAAATCGCCCCCTGGGGGGCAATATCACCCAGGTTAAGAACCTTTGGTGTAGGGTCTCCTGCCTGAGCAGGGGGTTGGACTAGAAGACCTCCAAGGTCCCTTCCAAGTCTGTTATTCTGTTATTAGTGTGCACAACACAATCATCTCGAAACCACGACAAAGGCAGTCAAATTTTCCTGCACCAAGAACTGGCAGGCAAAGGAATAGACACTAAAAGGACATGTCAGAATTGAATACTTTGTCCTCCGTTGGCCGCTCCTGGATCCTGGATCCAGAAGATGCTCCCCCAGGCCCTGGTCAGTGCCCCCCCCAGCCCCACCTCAGGGAGAGAAGATTACTCCCTACCTCAAGGGGATTTGGGTAGGATAAGTCCATTAGTCCAGCTCAGAGACAAGAGAGCTACAAATAGACAGCTAATCGGTCAAGGAAAAACGGACGGGCG